TTTTTTTTAAAAAAAAAAAAAAAAAAAAAAAAAAAAAAAAAAAAAAAAAATCCCTAACATTAATTCACTTGAAATTTGTGTGCAAGCACGTATTATGTACTCTATTAAAGTAATACTACATATAAAATTTACAGAGCAATAACAAGATAAAAACACTTTTCCATTTCTCTTGTCCATTAATGAGCAAAAAGTCTATTATCATACTTTACATATCAGTGCATTATTAATGTAAAAGAAAGTAGTAAGAAAAGTAATTCTTCCTTCGCCATATTGAATTTCTTTTTCTTTGGGTGATAGAAAAGTACTTAAAGAAATCGAAAAAGCTGGAAAAAAGGTATTGAATTCCGTTACCGGGAATCGAACCCGGGTCTCCTGGGTGAAAGCCAGATATCCTAACCGCTGGACGATAACGGATATATTATACGAGAAGCCCAAGGAAAATATTTATTCAGTTAAAGGTTTTAAGCTCGAACCACTAACCTAGAGCAAGTGTTTAAGTGGATAAAGGAGCAATTAGGGGAAAATCATAAACACAAACCATCATTATTTAGAAAACCGCATTCATCTTGACAGGCTAACCTTAGCTTTTTCATAAAATTAACTAGGGGCGTACATATGTCGGGTTGGTTCGGATTTACAATTATTAAACCAAACTAATTATGTCGGATTATTAAATTTAAAGACCAAACCAAACCAATAAAATTCGTTTTCACTTTCGAATTTTCTCATATTTTCTCGGGTTTTCGGGTTATTCGGAGGTTATTTTACGGCAAAATCTTCGTAGAACAAAACATATAAATTGTGCTCAAAATATTTCTTTAATCCTAGTAAGATACAACTATATAAAGTATTTTTCAAGAAAATAACACAAAATATGAGATGTGTCGTGGCATTATCCTAAAGTATTCAACAATAAAGACAATAAAATTATGTAATGTAAATATTGCTAATTAAAAAAGCCACAATAAAAATAAACATAATCTAAAAGTACTAAGTCATGATAAAATAAGTAGACTAATAAGGGAGTATTAATTACATGACTAAACGCTAAAGAAAAAAATACAAATAGGTTATGCATTTTTATCTAAATTATTGCAAAACAAAATATAGATATTCAATAAATTCTCGTTCATAGTATTGAATTGAATGTCTTTTGTTAGCATTAGTATTGATTTGATTTTGGTTTAGGCTTTTGTTAGCATTATTTAGTTTACTAATGTTAATGGCTATAAAACTTATTGGAACATTCAAAAGTTCTAAGTCCAACCTTGAAATAATTCCTTAAAAGATAAAATTATAAATTTTTTTAAGAAATATTTATAAATTACATCGCAATAAATATATTTATATATTAAATATATCTAAAATTTCTATATATGTAATGTTGGGTTGTTTTGGTTTCGGTTTGACTTTCTTTAGTTAAAACCAAACCAAACCAATTATGGTCGGATTTTTTTCCAATACCAAACCAAATCAAATCAAATCATAGTCAGGTTTTTTTTTCTCGGTTTGACTCGAATTATCGGGTTGGTGCGGTTTGTTAGTTTCCTTTGTACACCCCTTAAACTTAACCCATCAAATCCATAAAAAGCAGGCAATAAAATATTACATTGAAATAACCATATAATTTTTGTCTGTTTTATACACCTTTCCCAAAAACTACTTGGGATATTTAACTTAAAAAATATCAATAAACAAAGACTCAAAAAACATCATTAAACAAAGCCTGAAATTAACATAGTTGGCTAAGCTTTGTGAGGATAAAGTCTAACAGGAAGTCCTTTAGCAGGAATAGGCATTGGATCAACAACAATTTTCTCATTAGGTATAACTTTTTCCCACTTAAACCTTTTCACTAAATGGTGCATAAAAACAAGTATTTCAAGTCTTGCATATTCTTTTCCTGGACACATTCTTGGCCCTCCTCCAAATGGCACAAATGTGTAAGGAGCTGGTCCTGAACCTTCAAATCTTGAAGGATCAAATTTTTGTGGCTCTGGGAAATATTCAGGGTTTTTGTGTGTTGAGTTTGCACTCCAATATAGCTGCATATATTGAAAGAAAAATAAATTCTCAATTAACTTTCAGAATTTAATAAGAGTTTAACTTTTATGCATTAGTACTTTAGAAAAAATTATGCATTATCAAGTCAAAATATACGATATCAGGTAGCTGTATCACTACCAAAAAAAAAAATGAATTAGCGTTGGAAGAATTTTGTTACTAAACAACATATTTTTGCCGCTAAACTTATTTAATGACGGATTTACGATGGATTATAGAAAAATCCTATTGGCTACGAACTATTTAACGACAATTAGTGACGAATTTCTTAGTTTTCTTTTTTTTTTTTTTTTTTTTTTTTTTTTTTTTTTTTTTTTGTAGTGCATCCAAAAAATGTGACTGGCCAGCTGAAAATAAGATATGTTTCTTGCCATAATATGTTAAAACACACGCACTGATAGGGGTGTCAAATTGGCAGGTTGAACTGATTTTGGGCGGATCAAAACGGCTGACTGAATACCCGCCCAAATAGTAATTTGAGTTGAGATGAGCTGGATTAAGATGTGCTAAAATTTGTGTCATAGTCCAACTCGCCAAACTCTTACAAAACTTTAATTAATGTGTATTAATTTTTTATGAATTGTGTAAGTATCAAATAAGACATTTTTCTTTTATTATGATCATATATAGCTTTAGATCATAATATTTTTCTTTTATCAATTTGAGCAAAAAAAAGCCCAACTTTAGATGAGCTGAGATAGGCTGAGCTCAACAAATGGGTAGGTCAATGGCCGGCCTAACCTTGGACGGATTGAACGGGTTAAATGAGTTTGGGCTCAAATTGCCACCCCTATGTTCGGGGCATTTGCATCTATACCCATTTTTTGTGGTAAAAATTGCACGGGGCGCCCTATTTGGTCGCCCCCATTTAACCTATACCCATTTTTTTAAAAAGTTTTAACTTGTACCCACTTTTTAAATAATTTCAGCCCTCTTTCCCCTCCTCCTTCTCCTCCTTTGTTTTCTTCTTCAAGTTACAAAATAAATTGGTCTCCAAAAGCAATGTTGCTTTAGTTATAAGGTCAATTTTTTTTAATTGAACAGTTCGGCAGTTGTACTTCTGGAGATAAATACCAATTTGTTTTGTAACTTGAAGAAGAAAACAAAGGAGGAGAACGAGGAGGAGAAAGAAGGTTGAAGTTATTTAAGAAGTAGGTACAAGTTAAAAGTTTTTAAAAAATAGGTATATGTTAAATGGGGGCGACCAAATAGGGAGCCCCGTGCAATTTTTACCCTATGTTCAAGTTAAATCCATTTAATACAAAAAATGTTCAAGAAAATCAGATATTATTAGTATAAAAAAATTACCTTCCATCCTTTAGGAATGTAGAAACCATTGAAGATGAAATCATTAATAGCTTCTCTAAAAGCACCTTGGAGGGGTGAGGCAAGTCTTAAAACTTCACATGCTACATTCCAAGAATACTTCATTTTCTGAATATCATCCCAGTTCAATAACTCACCAGGTGATTTTGACATTGCAATTTCCATTTGTTCTGTTAATTATCACAACAATTAATCATTTGTAAATGACAAAAATAAATTCAATTTATAATAACAAGAAGTTGACAAAGAGAAAATAAAAAAAGAAGTGTATTCTGCTAATTAGAAAGTTTACCTTTTTTAATTACTTTCACTTCAAAGACCTAATCAAAGTTTTACCGGCCAATTAACAATCAATTTCTTCCAATTGTTCATAAGATGTTCATTTGCTAAAGACATGAGAAAAGCTTAGGAGAAAAACCAAAGAAAAACGGGACAAAATCTATCTTTTGTATAGATAACGATTACGGTAATTAATTAATTAGAATAGAAAAATAAAACCAGATTATAATACCTGATGATGCCTAAAGAATAAAAATACAAACAATAACTATCATTAGGCATGATCAGGTATTATAATCTGGTTTTAATTTATAATCTACTAATATAAACAAAAGATAAAGACAAAAAAGGGATGCGTTGATCTCGACTCGTGGTTGATACAAAACTTAAAAGTTTGGCTAAAAATCCTTTTTGTTTAACCGTCTGATTTTTGGAATTTACTATCCTGACTAATCCTGGCACTCCCTATTAAAGATGAATTCTCGAGACACATCGACTCGAACCCGAGATCTCTAATTAAGGATAGATAAATATTTACTATTCCATCATACCATAATGTGTGGCTAAAGATTTAGTGTAACATATCATTAAAAACCTGATTACTAAATTTACCATGTTCCATGTTTAAAATAAGTGTAACTACAAGATGGGGAGAAAATTCGTCGTGAACATTCGTTTTCCTCGCAAAATTTTGCAGGTGCATTGTATTTTGCTTTTAGAAAATTAATCATTAACAGTTCTGATTTGACTGTGGGGCAGACTATGTTTTTTTTCCTAATTTTTTTGTTACTATACATTGGGGGGGAAGAAGGGGAAATGGAAGAGGGAATTACAAGTTGTTAAATCAAACTCTCTCGCCTAAAAGGCGAAAGTTTAGGTAGCCAATCAATTGAGCTATTAAAATTCCCGGGCAGACTCTAGTGGGTTGCACTAACTAATTTGAATTTGTTCATGATACAATATTCCGGTTACTTATCTCCTTCGAATTAAATTCTATGAACTTCCTCTTATGAAGAATTTGATAGTAATATCATTAAGATTATGAAATAAGAACTTATCCTTCTATACACTATACACCAAATAAAATTACAATAACTGCTCATAATAAGTAGAATTAGTAACTTGAAAAATAAGACTTCAGTATGCTATAATATGTTAAATTACACTAATTTTGTAAATTCTTTTATATCGTAGTGCATATAAGTTAAATCCATGAAATGTTTGAAAGAAAAAGAAGACATAATATAGTGGACAAAAAGAATAAAGTGTTACCTTTGTAAACTCCTTCATAGATCTCAGGAAGTTCAGCAAGATACTTAAGAATAAATGTACAAGCAGAACTAGCAGTATCATGTCCACCAATCAATAATCCTAAAATCTTATCAGCAATATCCAATTCATGCATATATTTCCCATTTTCATCACTTGTCAATAGCATATGTGACAATATATCTTGTGTTGGTGATGCTTTCCCTTCAGCCAAATCAACTTTCCTTTGCTTAATAATTAACAAAAGCTCCTTCCTAATAAGATTCGATGCCTTAATCGCGCGATTAAATGGCGTTCCTGGCAAATCTATAGGGATAGAAATCAATCCGGAAGCCAAAACATTAAAAGGATCAGCAAATTTCGCGACATGGTTAGGATCTTCCACACTTACAAATAATCGACAGGCTAGCCAAAATGTGTAACGTTTTGCTAGTGGAAAAACTTCGATTTGGTTCTTATTTTCCCAACTTGAAGCAAAATGGCGTTGCGCGATATGATCCATGATACCAACATAACGTTGTAATGCCTCTGGCTTGAAGAAATTTGGAAGCATTTTTCTCATTTTAATTGCTTCTTCTTTTGATGAAGTTTGAGTTGAAGATGGGAATACTTTGTTTACAGAATCTGGCCACCAAGCTTGTACAAGTTTATTTTCATTAGAAAACAAGAATTTATTGCACGTCGGACCACAAAAGACTGCTGCTTTTTCACCTAAAAGATGAGTTTTAAAGACACTAGACGAATACTTGGTCATTCTATCAAATACGAATTTTTCAGGATGGCCTTTCCAACCCGTTGAGAGAAACTCGAAGCTCTCTCCGATGAACGGCCATCCGGTTTTGCCCGGAGGTAGGGTTCCGGTCAAGCTGCCGGAGTTTCGCTTGTAAAAGATGAAATGAAGGGCGAGCGACGTAAAGAGAGTGAAAAGGCAAAGGAGATAGAGATAGAAGACCTCCATGTTTAGTTTTGTGTTCAAATGACTTGGTTAAGGAAATAAGAAAATTTAACACATAAATATTGTAAGTTTGGAGAATTTGGAATGGGATGAGTTTTGGTAATGAATTGGATACATATATATATATTGGTGGGAACTAAATATAGTAGGAATTAATAATGTAAATATGGAAGGTCAATTATGCTGGTTGTTGACAACAGTTACAAAAAGGAAATTCCACATAGAAGTCTCAATGGAATCTAGAGGTCTTCTTCTTTTTCTTTTTACCTTATGCAAAACATTTTAAGAAAGATGGAATTATTTAATTAGGTGTATACCGTCCTTTACATAATAAGATCCTTGGTAGTTGATCATCTTATAAATTAGGATAATCATTTATTACTATTAATTCATAGTTTACCAAAACAAGATGTAAAAAATGTTATTGCAATCATAATCAAATTTCAATAAAATAATATTCAACTTTTATTTTGTTCAATCAATTTAATTCATAGATACTTTGAGTGATTTTTTTTAGGAAGCCACTTTTTCTTTTTTCGAAAAACAAAAGGGAAAATATTTATAGCTGTGGAGGTTGCCAAAATCTCCCTACCTTTTTCGTTTTTATATTTTATTTAAGAATGAAGTTTGATAAATAGACCTATCAGTTTATAGTTTCGGGACGTTGTATATTTTTTTTCATGTTGCATGTGCTAGTTTTATAGAACCTCATCGGTACCATAACATCTTGTTTCATATTTTGTTAACTTAGATTTGTTTATTATTCAATCTAAAAGAGGAATTTAACTAAAGTGTAAGAAATGGGGGGAAAAATACATTCGATGTGGTGAGATATATATGATTCCCTCGTTCTTGATTAGAGGTTTTAGTCACGAAAATATAATTTTTCCTAGTAGCTGGTGAGGAACACTATCCTCTTAAATGGACCCTATACTGGTGCAAAACTGAATTATCCTACTAGTAATTACGATACCAAATAGTTAAAATAAAAAATAAAAAAGAGGTGTTTATAATATTTATAAACTAGTGGAAAGCATTGCTGTATTTTATCCTATGGCCGGCCTGTTTCCATTAGCCACATTTAGAATAGACAAAAAAAATTACTTATTACAGTACTCATTACTGACGAGTTCCAAAAGTTAGGTTTAAATTTTATCATAGAAAGTGTTACAAATAATGTTCAAATAAAGTTAATTAAGCACTGTTTGAGATTCGAGAGAAGGATTTAATTGGATTGTTAACTACGTGAAGTTTAAAGTGGCGTCAATGTTAGTCAATTCTTTTTCACTCTGCCTTCTTTATTTAAAGGAAAATGGTCAAGTTTGTTTATATACCATGTGAAATTAAATAAATTTATTATTTGTTAAATTTTTTATTTCATATCACCTATTTTTTAACAGCATTTCAATCGATGGATGAACATTAAGAAGCAGATTAAAAAGTGCCCGGCCGCACCATTTTTACCAAGGAAAAATTAAGTTACACAACAAACATACACACTCTATTTATCATTCGTAGCTATACTTTCAAAAAATTACATTTCTTAGCTATATTTGAAATTTATAACAAATTCACCTGTAGTACTGAAATAAAAGACCAATTGTTTTGAACTGAAACAAGAGAGTGAAAAGTTGTCATAGCTTTGTGATAAGTTATATGCCTTTGTGTTTTGATGATTTAACAAACTTCACATGAGAACCAGTGATACAAAACCTCAAAGTGCTAGGAACAACAAGTCACATATCTGGCACACGTTCCAACGATATCAATCAAAGGAACAGTAGAGGGAATAGATGGCTATCAGTTCATACAGTCACAGTACAAGTCAACTTCATACAGTTGTTAAAGCTGTTGCACTGTTGCTGTCACGACCCTAAACCGGACCCGGTCAAGATGGCACCTATCGTGAAACAAGGCCAACCAACACAAACCCCCTAACCAACTAAACAGTTATAATAATTCATTTTTAAGTCATTAATAAGCTATAAATTCCAAAATAAAGAGTAGAATAGAATAATGCAGAAAATAACACAGCCCGACATCGGGGTGTCACCAGTCATGAGCATCTAAAATCCGTCTAAGAGTATGAAAAAGACAACATAGTCTAATACAAGGCTAGTACAAAGTGAAATAAAGATAGGAAAGAGAAGCACTGGGTGCGAGCACTGAGCAGGTACCTAGTTAACTCCGAACAAGCGTGCTGGAAAGCAAATCAGCACTCGCTAGCGTGACCCGAGTCTCCTGGATCTGCACACAGGGTGCAGGGATTAATGTGAGTACGCCAACTCAGTAAGTAATAAAAGTAAAGGCAGCTGAGCGATAAGAAAACATGTAAAACACAGCGTAATGCTTCAACAGAACAGTATAAAACCAGAACAATGCAATAAAATAATAAAAGCTCGTAAAAACACCTTAGTTCAGTAAAAACCTCTTTAAAAACAACATTTAGTAGTTCAAACGAGTGATGAAAACATGGAGAAAAGGATAGAAACATAAATCAGCCCCTCAAGCGAAATACCAACAGAACTAGCCCCTCGGGCTATCTCATAATCACTCATATAAGCCCCTCAAGCAATAACATAAAACAACAACAGCCCCTCGGGCAATATCACATCTCACACTGGGTACCCGCGCTCATTGGGGGTGTGCAGACTCCGGAGGGGCTCCTACAACCGAACCGCTATATCAAGCCATCTCGTGGCATAATCAAACTGGCCCTCGGTCTCCAAATCATGAATCAGTACAACACCGCTGCGGCGCGCAGCCCGATCCTATAATATCCTCACAACACATGCCCTCAGACCCACTCAGTCAGAAATCTCTCAAGCCACTCGGGCACAGTAAAATATGATGCTCAGCCCAAAATATCATTTAAAAATATCAAAACAGAGTAAATATGGCTGAGTTATGAAAACAGTAGAAACTACATGACTGCGTACAAATATAAAGTCAAAATGATGAGGAATAGTAGTAAAAATCCCCTAAGAACCCAAAATAGTTGGCACGAGGCCCAAATATGGATTTCAGCCGAAACAATAATAATACTTTCCAAAACGCAATGATAACAAACAATTTTTAATCAAGTACGTAGTTTAATAGTCATACGGGGCGGACTAAGTCACAATCCCCAACGGTGCATGACCACACGCTCGTCATCTAGCATGTGTGTCACTTCAAAGCAGCACAACGATATAAAATTTGGGGTTTCATACCCTAAGGACAACATTTACAATCATTACTTACCTTTATCCAGTCCAAACTCTAGCCCGCGATGCCTTTGCCCCTCGAATCGGCCTCCGGATGCTCCAAATCTATCCAAAAATAGATTTATACCATCAAAATAAGCTAAAGAAACAAAGCCCACTAAAAAATAACCAATTTACATCAAAAATCCCGAAATTGGCCAAACCCGACCCCCAGGCCCACATTTCGGATTCCGACAAAAATCACAAAACTAGAATCCTTACACTCTCGCGAGTTCATACATATCAAGAATACCAAAATCCGACAACAAATAACTCCTCAAATTCCTAAATTTAGGTCTCAAATTTCCAAGCCCTTACTTCCAATTTTAAGCTTTAGATTCCATAAATTCCATGTTTAATTTGATAGAAATCACATTAGGATCGAGTATTAAGTCCATAAATCTTACCTCCAAGTGTTTCCCCTTGATTCCCTTTTCAATCCTCCTCAAAAAACTCTAAAATCGCTCAACAATGGTGAAACTTAGACCCAAAATCGCGGAAATGGTCTTTTAAACATTCTGCCTATCTATTCACGTTCCTTCTTCGCGAGCGCGGTCAACGCCTCGCGTTCGAGAAGCACAAACTTACGTTGACCACTAATTCCTTCATCGCGAACGCGATACCCCAAACGCAAACATGAAGCTTCAGCTCATCAAAGCATTGTGAACGCGACTACCAGCTCGCGAACGCGAAGAACAATTCTCTAGGACCCAAGCTGCTCACCTTTCCTCTACGCGAACCCGGCAAGACCCTCGCGAATGTGATGACCGCTGACCTCAGCCCTTCGTGAACGCGAAGGCCAACTCTAATGCCTTACATCCTAACCCTTCGTGAACGCGGGACATCCATCGCGAGCGCGAAGGCTAAAAGCCTACAACACCAACAACAGTTTTTCTGCAACTTTTTCCAACATGAAATGATCCGTTCAACCACTCGAAACTGACCCGGGGCCCTCGGGACCGCAACCAAACGTGCCAAAAATTTCCATAACCTCATTCAAACTTGTTCTAACCTTCGGAACGCTCAAAACAACATCAAAACACCAAATTTACATCGGATTCAAGCCTAAGAATTCCAAAAACTTCCAAATTCCGCTTTCGATCAAAAGGTCTATCAAACCTCGTCCAAATGACCTGAAATTTTGCACACACATCACAAATGATATAACAGACCTGCTCCAACTTCTGGAATTCCATTGCAACCCCTATATAAAAATTTCACCTATCAACCAGAAAATTCCAAAATTCCAATTTCGCCAATTCAAGGCTAAATCTACTCCGGACCTCCAAAACACATTCCGATCACCCTCCTAAGTCCCAAATCACCTCCCGAAGCGATCCGAATCATCAGAATTCACATCAGAATCCACATAAGTCTACATCTGGTTGACTTTTCCAACTTGATCTTACTCAAAAGAGACTAAGGGTCTCAAACTTTACCAAAACCTCTCCGAATCTGAGCCAACCAACCCGTTAACACATAATACAGCTGAACAAGACAATAAGAAGAAGAAATGGGGGAAACAGAGTGGTAACTCATGAAACGACCGGCCGGGTCATTACATCTCCCCCTCTTAAACAAACGTTCGTCCTCGAACGAGTCAAAAAACATACTTGAAGCCTCAAACAGGTGAGGATATCTACTCCGCATCTCCCGCTCGGTCTCCCAAGTAGCCTCTTCCATGGGCCGACCTCTCCACTGCACTTTCACTGAAGCTATATCCTTTGACCTCTACTTTCGAACCTGACGCTCCAAAATAGCTACTGGCTCCACATCATAAGTCAAATCATCATCTAACTGAACCGTGCTAAAATCCAAAATATGAGGCGGAT